TTTTTTATGGTTCGCCATGTACGATGTACGATGTAGTTGGTCGAATGTTTTGTTGACGAAACTTATCAACAATTCAATTTCGATAAAAACTCGTAACTCCTCGTCGAATCGTAACTCATTCCTCTCCTCAATGCATTTTTTAGCACATCAACTTTGGCTCTGCACTCCCATATATTTGTGAGTATGCGTGTGTTGAGTATTGGCATTTGAATTGTCACATCTGCTTCATAGCTTCGAACTCATTCATCACATGCAGGCTGCTATGCGGCCTGTCAGCGTCTGCCAATGCAATCATTTTTATTGCGCGAAAGTGTGTGTGTGTGTTTGTGTGTGTGTGTATGTGTGTGAAATAGAGCGCATAACCATACCACAGTGAAACAATACACCATGGAGTAGGAGCTAAAATTGTTATATTCTAACACCGAGGGTAAGGGAGCATATGTGCTTATTGAATTATGTCTGTTAGTATGAACAGAACTGTTCTCTAAAAAGTTATAAAACTTGGATGGTAGATGAATTTCTTCTCCAAGCCCAAAACACACTCTGCCACCTGTTATCAGCTGCTCTGACATTGGTATCAGAGTATTTTGCACTCGGTGACGCCCGACTACAACATTCTCACTTGTTTTTTCTTTGGCCCACATGCAGACACGGCTCAGACTATAACAATGAGTGTTTGCTGGTGTGTTGTCTGTGTGTATGTGTGTGTGTGTGTGTGCGTGGTTTAGACCGTGAATAAGCACAATACGGCCATAAATTATGGACCGACCAAAAAATGCACTTTTTAATAGCAGTTAGCTTTTGTCATGCAAAGCTCCCGCCGTAAAGGCTGTTTGTCCCGTATGTTGTTGTTATTTGGCGAGCAGAACAAACGTTTACACATCGAATTGGCAATATTTTTGGTGCTGTTAGCCTAGAGCTGGTGCTCTCTGACAAATGAATGGTCGGCAAGCTAAAAGTAATCAATATTTAAGTTTACGCTTGGCAAAAGTTTTTGAGACATAAGTGATGTTATCATCAAGCCACATTATTTAAATTGTGTTTTCTTTTCGATTTTTGCCATTATTACAACAATCTGCCTTGCACAATCGCAGTCCCTTCAAATTAAATAGAGGCAGACACATATGCTTCAGACAGCCCACCCGGAAAGAGTTTAAAGAGTCTGCCACTCAAGTAGGTCAACGATTCGACCACAAATTGTTGGCTTGTCACTTACAAACAGACAGGCAGACAAGCAGACAGGCAGACAGACAGATATATTTACATAGGCTTCTTTTGCACAATTTTTAAAAGCTGTTAAAGCTGTTTTGCAGCAAAACAAAAATCTCTGTAAGCACAGCCGTGTGGAGTGTTATTCAGATTTCGCATTGATTTTTAAATAAAGCCCATTCGAGTATATGTGTTGCATGTAAAATTAAATTCGCGTACCCACACAAACACTTACATTGAATTTCCATAAACTGCTGACTAAAATTGCGCACAAAAGCATGCAACACTCAATTGAGTTTAATTGCTGCAATGCAATAATATGTATCTGCAATATGAGGCAGGCATTATTCAAATATAAACAAATTTGTAACTGTGTCCGTACACTCAGAGAACAGAAATTTGCGGTTTCCTGTGCTTAAGTCATGGTATATGTTATAAATAATATAAAATCAAAAATATATCTAATTTTCAGGGTATTTTAAGTGTGTACACAGAACTCTTTTATTCGCTGCTATATTTTTCAATTATTCGGGGAGATTTTTATTCCGAGTGTATATTTAACAACAACAATATTGTGAAAATAATATTGTATTGTATTGTAATATAACAGCTTATAGTTTGTGATTTGGGTGTAAGTTAATTTTATGCCCATTATCGGTAAATATTAAGCGCATAATATTGAAAATTGTTTTTGCAAGGCACGTTAATTAGTTAAGTAGTAGTTGTTGTTGCTGATCGTACTGTTCTTTGAACCATAGTTTTGGGGGCACCTTCAATTGTGTTGTCTCTGTCGCACATACTCGTAAACAAACTTGAAAAGTTTACATCATGCAAAATAGTCTCCCTGCGCCGACTTAGTTTGCGAAGCCTTTGAGCTGCAAAATTAAATAGCAAAGCAAAGTGCGCAGCTAGTTGCTTTTTTAGTGTTTTATTTTATTTTTTGGCAGCAAACAAGCCGTGGCTGGCACAGCATCCACCATTGCCTGTCACTAGTATGTGTTGTGTGTGTGTGTGTGTGTGTGTGAGTGTGTTTGAGTGTATGGGTTATGGGGTGTGGCACGCCCGCCTCTCTAGTGGCCGTATGGCATGTGCGAAGTTGCGCAAAACTTTTTAATATGCTTGCGAAATTTTATCAAAACTACAAAATTGCAGCAAAGTGCCAACTGCCTGTGCACTGACTGCAGCTGCAACTGCAACGGCAGCGGCAGCGGCAGAATAAGACAGCAAAGGGCGCCACTGAGCCAACTGAGGAGCTGGCCAAACAAAACACAGTCAAGCGAAACCTTCAACTCAATTTGGCAATCGCATTTCTTGCTCTACTTCCGCCTATTCAACTTGACTCGATTTGCATGCCGCCGACCGACAGATACACGTGTGTGTGTGTATGTTTGTTTGACTGTGTATGTGTGTGTGTGACAAGCGACAGTCGTCGCGTTGCCTTTATGTGTGTTTAAGTGGCAATGCAAACGGCAACATTTTGGCGAGCACTTTTCTCTGTGCCACTGACAGTTACACGACATTCGTTTTTTTTATTTCCCTTTTTTTTTGGAAACTTTTTGTGCTAAATTTAATTGCAATGAAAATTTTCATCCACTTGCAGTGGCAACTTGTGAAAGTTCACTGACAAATGCATCGGGGCGTTAGCTGTTAGCCTCCACAGAGCTTTTTGCCGGGCCAACTTGTAGCAGTCACAGACGCCAACAGCTACTGCATTTATTTGTATGTGAGAGAGATGGCGTATTTGATTAATTGGCCAAAATTCATTTTATATTTAATGTCAAATAAAATAATTATGCTAGTTGGTAAAAGTTAATGGCTGTAGTGCTTTTAATTTAAGACGAATTTAATGCTGCATGCATGCATGCGTGAAATAAATGCCAAAAAGTTAATGAATCACATATGTATAAGACATATGCGTATATATGTATGTCTATAAGACCTCAGCTCAAAACACAGAGTATTTAAAGACAGTAACAATCAGAAAGGGTTTTATACAAAAAATATAAATTTCATTTTTGCTTAACATTTTAAATTTATAAACACTTGATTCCATTAAAAATGGGTATAAATTGTTGATCAGCATCAGCAACAGAGTCGATTTAGCCTTATATGCCTCTATAAACGTGCCAATCACAGATGCCATGAAAGCTAGAAACACAAAATTTTTAATATAAGTTAATTTAGGGCTTTTTACGAACCATTTCGCAGAATTACACATCAAATTTGAACGAAACTACCCCTACAAGAGCTCTTAAAGATATTCGAGTACTTGGAACAGTATAGAACTTTCTTGTCACACTTTAGTTACAATCAACTATATAGCAGATTTTCGCGTCTTTTCTCAGTTGATTGCCCAAGTATGTGGAGTCAAATGTTAAATGTGACTATTCTAATTATGTGGAATTCGGTTGACCATGCCATTATTACGCATACGCCTAGTCGCCTTGCGTGTCGCATAAAAGCAATTGGGCCAACAAATTAACTGTATTTGCTGCCGCTGCCGCTGGTGCTGCTGCTACTGCTGCCAGTTGGCCACATTGTAAATAACAACAGACACAAAGGGCGGCATGGTACGAGTGTGTGTGAACAGTAACAAAGCACATGCTGACATCAGCATCAGCAACAGTGTGTAAATCAGGATCAGAGTTCACGGGACATGATTGTAAATTATCTGAGAATCTGAGGCCATACCAAAGAAGTGACAAGGCAGTGTGATAATGGTAAAGATTACGGTGATGATGATGTTGCTGTCGAGCTGATCTGTTATAAAGTTGGAGCCAGGTGACCCACTTGTAAGCAAAACACCGTGTGCTCAGCAATTGTTTTTGGCCTTCATTGTAAAAATAATGCACAAAACTTTAGACACCAAACACAACACAATACCAACATGGATTGGGGCGACAAAGTCCAATGGACAACTTTGCTATACAAATTTCTATCAAAAGATTAAGCAAAGACAAACAAGTGGGAAACAGTGACGCAGCCGTTGGCAAAACCACCCATCCCATCGACCAACCAGCGAACACTTGCCAAGTTTTCGTAGATAACTTTAAATATTTATCCTCGTTGCTCTTCAAAATGGAGCTGAGTTTGGAGCTGTGTCTTTTTCCGTCTGTGGTTTGGTTTGGCCTGATTTTTATTTATGTCCATTTTACGTTTTGTTAGTTTGACATATCAGTGACACTTACTGCTAGCTCCCTCAACATTGCAGCAATATTTTATTTTATTGCATGGCAAAAACAACAACGAAACAACAAAAGAAAAAAAAAGTGTTCACACTCTGTCATAAAAATACAATTTTTATATTTGCGTGCAAGTTGTAAACATAAATTTGGGATGCAGCAGCAACAACAGCCCCACATAAAATTGAGAATCTCGCAAGTATTTTGTTTTTTCTTTGTTTTTGGCCCGATCGATTTTTCATATTTTCTTTAAGGCATCTCCAGGCGGCACTCGTCGAGCAACTTTGTCTTGGCCAGAAGGTGAGGGACCAGGTGCTTGCCAACTTTTCGGGCGAACTTTGTTGGCGAAACTTTTCGGCATATAAGTTGTTAATTTGCGAAAAGAAAAGGCGTTTAACTGTGGTGCCGAATTTTGATTGTCTGGATCAAAAGATTAGTAAACCATCATAAGTGAAGTGCGAATTATAATAATAGACTACAGAAAATCTGAACAGTGAAAAGATTTGGAATCATAATTTAATTAGCCGAATGAAAATTATATTAAATTATCTTTTTGGTTCGTGTTTTCTGTCTAAAAATTTAGTAGTTTGAATGAAAATTATTTTAGAAATGTCTCGAATCAAAAATGCCAACAAAAATCGGTTAAAGGGGAGTGGAGGTCCGGCAAATGAAGGCGGCAACAATGGTACAGACGGTAGTGGAGGTGGTGGCGGCGGCGGAAGTGGTGGTGGTGGTGGCCGCGGTGGCATGGGTGGAGGACGTGACGTGAGTAAAGGTGGCGGTGGCCGTGGGGGACGCGGTGGAGATGGAGGCGGAAGAACCAGAAACAATGGAAATGATAACCAAAACGATCAGGAAAAGATGAAAGATCAAAGACGTGGTCAAGATGGAGAGGATGGTGCTGGAAACGGGGGACGCGGAGGCCGTGGAGGTGGTCGTAGTGGTGGACGAGGTGGCGAAGGTGGTGGAAAAAAGGATACCAATGATGAAAACAATGGTTCAGAGAGTAGAAAGTGAAAAGATGACATAGGCAACGGGACAGCTTATGCTAGAAGGGGCAGAGGAAATTGAGAAAACGAGGTAGACGGCAATGTAAGCAAAATTGATAGCAATAGCAGCCAAAAAAGCAGAAAAACATCATCAAGTTAGTTCTTCGAATTGAGTGCACTTGAGTCCGAAAACGATGGCTAATGAGCATTCGTTTGCCACACAAAAGTAAATTCAACATGCAGCAGCAATCGGGTTACAAAGAAGAAATGTAAAATAAGTAAACTTAAGTAGTATTTTTATCAGACAACCATGGAAGTCTTCGACTTGAGATATATTCTGCAAAGGCTCTGCATTCATCGAAAACCTCATCAATTTAAATCAATTTATTTTTCTTAACTGCAAATAGAAACTCCAACAAAATATCGATTTTAATAAATGATGCTTCTATGACTTGTGTAGTTTGACAACCAGCTGGTGGCCAATTTAGGTAGAGGGTATCTGCCGGTCTGACCAGTTCATATAACTTGTCGTTGCTCAAAGGGGCGAGAGAGAGAGAGATAGAGAGAGAGAGAAAGAGAAACTGTAATACTCTAATAATACCTAAAACAATACAGTGCAAAGAAAAAACCATAGTAATGGTTATTAAAGAATGTTTTGTTTTGGTGTGTGTTACCAAGAAGTGTAAAGTGACAGGTGAAAGAAATTATTTGTTTGCAGCAATGAGATGCAAGGAAGCAAAAACTAAACACATAATGACCTGCCGCCACTGCAGTTGCTATTGTTGCGTTTCCTTTTGTTGTATGTTTAAGAGAATTGTTAAGTGAAAGAAACTAATCTATTGCCCCTGCGCCAAAAGAGACAACGAACATTATTTCGAATTTTCTCTTTAATTTAACTCTTCTTTTTACTCTTCTTTTTTCCCTGTCAGTTTTCAAGATTTGCACTAAGTAACTACTAATTTAAAAGAACCAAAATCAGGAGTTAACAATTAATTGTACATTGTTCGATAAAAATGAGAAGAGTTTGCAACTATAATTTTGGCCGCAGTAGAGTTTTTGTTACGTTGCTTCACTGGCGCCATGGTAATATATCTGACTGTTGTATCCATCAATTGAAAATATTTTCCCTTTGTTGACACAAATCAAAGCAGCTGCATAAATCTTAATCAAGCATCCTCATTCTCATCGTCGGTCTCAACTGTCGGTCGACTAAAAACGAATGAAAAATCCGCCAACTCACGGTCAATTGCAATTCAATTAGACGCAATTAGTGCCTGGGCACGCATCTGCTGTAAATGTATGTGTGTGTGTGTGTGTGTGTGTGTGTATATAGATACACAGATAGACACAGATGAAGACACAGACGCTAACATGCCATAGATTACATAGTTAGAGTGCAATTCAGATGAGATGAGATGAGCTGAGCTGAGCTGAGTTGAGACATTGCATGATTTGCCGCTGAGTTCTAGGCTCCTCGCTTTCCGCTCCCCACTCCCCACTCTCCACTCCTCGTTGCTCTCGAAATCCAACGTAGAAAAAGTATCTCATTAGATGGGCAGACACTATAACAACGGCAACGGCCGCTTAACTCATTCATCATCATCAGGCAGAAGACGGGTACGGGTACGGGTGCGGGGGTGCGGGGATTGCGGCATCGGTTTCGAGTAACACAGAATGCTATAGATACATGGATACATAGCTGCAATGCTGCAGCAGCTTAATTGTGAAATGACCCGTTGAGCTCTCTTCGCTGCCGCCGCTGCTGCTGCTGTATCTTTGCAAGAAGTTGCCCGCTTTTGTTGCAGTGTGCGTGTTTAATTAGTGCATGCCCTGATTATGTAAGATATACCCCGAACACATGAACGTGTGTATGCATGTGTGTGTGGATGTTTGTATAGCGTTGCACTGCCATATGCACAATGCACATGACCAGGCACCTAATTGGCGAAAGCATCCCGTACACCGATTGAAAGGTCCTCGTTGTCATTTGTCTTTTGATTTTCCTCTTCATTGGCTAATGTCTATATATATATATGAATATAACTATGTGTGTACATGTGTGTTTGTACAATATCAGCGCTGCCACCAGCAATGGCAAAAGAAACTTACAAAATACAGGCAAAGCGGAAAAATCATAAAAATATAACCTCCTACACTCGGAGAAAAAATTGCAAAATTAAAAATAAGCTGCTTCAGCACAGCTTTCAATAAGTGAATCTGTCTCTCAAAAACTTAACTTTGATTATGATTCAAACTCGGAAAAGCTTCGTTTGTCAGACGAGCCATTTGCCACTTTATTTTATGAATTTTTCTTGAGAATTTTTAAAAAGAATGTTTTTAATTTATACCTTTTAGTTATGTATTAAATACAGATTGGGCTATGAAAATACCTTCTGGTTATCAAAATCTGAGCTTCTTATCCGATCTAAATGGCATTTTTAATCAGTTTATTATTTTGTAGAATACAATTTCTTATATATATTGTTTCTATAATTTCTATAATATAATTTATTATTCTGAGAAGCAAAACACACAAAAAATATATTTGTTTGTAAAATTATTCCTAGTAATCAGAAGATTTTTGTTGTGTATAAGGCCAATTTTCATTTGAGTTCGATTTGTTTTTATTTGCCGAGTGTAGCCACAATTTCGTGTGTGTGTTCAATCAGGCGTGCTCAAGTGGAAACGGCAGCAGCATAAAACATCAGTCAAAAGATTGAAGTGCAGCCTAGTCATTGTCGTGGCGCGAGGCAACAGAGATGACAACAAAGACGACAACAACAACAGTAACAACCCAGACGACGATGACGATGGTGGTTGGGCAATAACCACATTATTTGGTATCATTTAATTTCAGCATTTGTTGTCCCTGCCTCTGCGCCTGGATCGATGTGCTTTGTTGCCAGTTGAAGCACAAAGCGGCGTATTTAATATTTCATGAATTCCTGCACAAAGACACAAACACGAAGGCATGTTGTACTTGTACTTATAACTCGCGCTCAGTTGCCAAGTCACAGTTGCCGTAGTCCGTTGCGTCTGAAAAAAAAAATGCTGTGTGGCGCCGTCATCTTGCTGCCAAGAGAGCTTCATTTATGAGGCACGAAGCATCAGCTTAAGTTGATGGCTGGCTTTGCAGCAACGTGTCACTTCAACTACAACCACAACAACAACAAAATGTTGAGAGCCAACTGCGGCAAGTGATAGGATGCAGCAACTTGGCAAGTGGGGCACGTCAATGCCAATGATTAGCAACATATTTACTTGACATTGACATCTATCATGAGCGGCGACTGCAAACATTTTCCAATACCATTCAGATTTGAAGTGTTGTTTGACTGGAAAAGTATTAAAGATGACGATAATGTCATAATAATCAAAGTAGTATTTATTTAGACTAAATACGATTCGTTTTAGATCACTTGTCTGAAATAACATCACTCCTCAAAACCTAAACTCTGTGAGTGTGTTTCTTAGCTAGCATATCTTTTAACGACACGATTCCTCTACTCATGTTCTGTTCTTATACCCTATTATTTTCATTTATCTTAACTCTTGTGACTTGCACTTTATTTGCCAGTGCGCTGATTATGATATACCACATATGTACAATGCAAACACTTTGTTGAGTTCACTGAAAATGGTTAGAAGTGATGCAAAGGTATGTAACAGTCAGCGGGAAGCATCTACGCCCCCATAAAGTATATATATTTTCTTAATCAGCATCAACCCATCTGAGAGACCACAAGAGATAGACAATTAAAATTAAAATTATCGTTAATTTAGATCAAGATTATTTCATTTTTGTAATAGCTTTCTCCAATTCGATGAAAATCGATTTCCGTTAGCAATAAGTGTAGACATCATTGGATAGTTTATTTTATTATTATAAGGGGTGACTTCATGATATACATTGATATGTTTGTGCTTAATGATATGTGAGTCCAATCGGGCTTCATGCGTCTTTCTTCTAACAGTTTCTGCAACCGTCTCTTTCGATGATCTGCAGATATCGATACCCTGACGGTATCGCTACTCAGTAAACAGGGTTATTATATAGCTATGACCGATTCTTATCCGTTTGTGCTCTATTCGAAAATCGACTTAAAAATCACATTTTTAGAAATATATCTTTCTATTCGACAAGGTATCTGCCTTGACATCTATGGGCAAAGCAATTTAATTTAATTTGATCGATAACTTTTCCCGAAATGCAAATATCGATAAAGAAATCCATTTTATCAAATAAAAGTCCCCGATTTATTTCTAATCGCCTTGACGTAGTATTGATCATCTGAAGAAAATTCATTAAGTTCGATTTAGAAAATCAGATTTTCACAATTGTTCACAGGAGTTAGGCTATCTGCTAGTCGAGCACTTGCGACTAGTGCATTCTTACATGTGTACACAAGTCCCTTGGCAATATTGCTCAGCTCTTGCACTGTTCACATACCATCTGATCTGAGTACGTTACATACACACATGTATAAAATCATATCTACAGCTTAATTGCATTTTCACATGCCGCCCCCTCAAAGTCCTGTGAACGTCGGCAGGTGCCTCCTTTGGGGGCAAGTACACTGCACACAAATAGTTTATTCCCACTTGCTACAAAGAGTAGGTCAAATTGGTTAACGATTTCAGAAGACGATCAAATTTTATTCATATTGAAAATGCTTAAATATGAAACAACTATTCATTGAGTTCAAATTACATGCCCATTGTGCCCATCGAAAAAAAAGGCATAAGCTTAATGTTCATCATCTTTTCTCCAAGTGTATCGGCTCCGACTCAATTCGTTTTAAAAATGCTGTAAATATTTATGCATGGTCATTCGCCTGGACGGGGTTGTGTGGTCGCTTCATGGACTTTAAGTACGGACACACATGTGATTACCTGTAGGTGTTTTTTTTTGTGTCTGTCCGGCAGTCGTCGCTCATTTAAGTGACAGCGGATTTAAAAGTGCAACGCTGACATTGTAAATGCAAATTTGCATTTAGCGTTTTTTGTACTCAATTTAAATTTTTTCGT